AGCTGTTAAATGTCATCTTTGCTGTGACAGAGTTTACAAAAATGGTTTCTGCATGTTTCCAATAGTTCCACATCACTGACTTGGTTCAAATTTTAGATCTAAATCATGTATCTTCACCAAAGATTGTGGACAGTTTACAATTTTTGTAAGAAAGAAAGAAGTCTGTGGATTGGAGGTCATAAAGTCAAAGGTTGAGGTCATTGTTACTTGCAAAAAAATGTTTTTTCTGCATAACTTTTCTTCTAGATAAAGATTCTTTACTAAATCTCTAGGATAATAAGAACTCTAACATTTTTAACCTAAAAGTTCAATAGTCACAATCATGGTTGATCTAATAGAAAATAAAGGATTCTGCACATTAAGTTTAATTCAGGATAGTGTACCTTAAAGGTCAATGTCATTGAGACCTGTTGGTCAATAATCTCCAGAGACAAGCATGCCCTACTAGTACCTATACAGAGGACTAGTAAACATGAGGTGGGTGTATAATGTACCAGTAACCATATTCTTGTGTATATTTGTGTGTAGATATCTATATAGATATATAAATATATAGATTGTTGATGAGTTACAGATTGTTTAGTTTGAATTATGAAAAGCAAAGGAATCTAATTTTGGTTTTGTTTGTGCATAAATGTTTTATAACTTTTTTCTGACAGGAAATTGTTGATTTTCATCTTTTTACAAAATTTCTTGCACTATTAAACTTTTATGTATTTTGTTACATTTTCTTTATTGAATTCTTATGCTGCATTATCAATACATTTTCAAATAAGTACATGCCATCAGTAGTTGCATCAGTAGTTTTTATTGCATTGCTGAATATGCTTTTACTTCAGCAATATGATTTAATTGTTGCACCCAATAGTTATATTGCACTTTTTGAAAAGTAAATATTTGCATATCATATATTTACATATCATATATTCTTTCAGAGAGTATTAGTTTTGGTTATTCTCTTTTAAGAAATGTCAAAACTATGGAGAACTGTGGATATGAAAAGGCCCCATGAGATTCTCACCCTATGTGTTTATCCCATTCAAAGTGCATGCAAACCGAAAGTTGTCAGTTCTATTGGGACCAGGTTGAGAGTTAGCACACCTTCAAGGGAGGAAAAAGCACTTTATTTTGTATACTCCTTGATCCCAAGAAAAATATTGCATCTTAATCTCTTCATTCCAGGAGTGTGCAGAACTCAGAATATAACTCCTTGGATCAAGGAGGGTATGGGACCAACCACTCCTCAATCCCATGTTAAAAAAAAAGATCATTCCTTTTTATTAGTAAAGCTACACCTGACCTAAGATTCAACTTTCATCCCCTTAGGTAAATGAATCCATAAAGCTATAAAGTGAAGTTTGCCAAACATTATTATGAAACAACCATTCTGGAATTTCATAGAAACTGTATCTACAAATCAATAATTACCATTACCTTGTTAAGACACAATGCACCTCAGTGTCATAGAACTCTATCAGACTAGGTACTCCATAATCCCAGGAAGTATAAGACCTCTCATGAGATAAACTCTTGAAGAGTCCCAGTCTTTAACATATGGAATCCATCTCTTGTAGAGTACACAGATGTAATGCCTTGAAAATTTCCAGCACACTATCAGGGTTGGTAACCTGGTGAAGACACCGCAAACCATATTGTGCATCCTGAGAATCCCAGCCAATCTCTATGAGAACTTCCAGATTGAGAAAACCCTTATGCCCCCATTTCCTTCTTATCAGAGAGACACTGAGTCAAAAAGTCCTGTATCTCCTCAAAAGTAGGAACAGGACTGAGGTCTGTTGGTTGGGTGGACTTGAATAAGTCTGTAAAGGAACTAGACAATCTTTCATCCTTTTTGGATCCCCATACTCTTCCCATTTATTGGTCAGGCAGAGGAAGTGATCATTTGGATTTGAGTTCTAAGCCTTTAGGCATAGAGAACAATACAATCCTATCCATTTTGGAGAAACTCTTCTTTTGGGGTTAGCATCATCACGACCAGATCTCCCTCATTTGACCATGCAAGACATCTTTTCCAAAGGTTTTCAAGAAACCAGGAATTCACCAGGCAAGATTACCTTCTTAGGACTGCTCCATTTGAAGCAGATACTCCCTCTTGAAGTCCCACTTTGATATCTTAGAACCAAGGGACCTACAGCTCCAGTCCCTCACAGCCACTTCTGGCTCATCAAAAGCGGCCTTGAAGCATCACTACTCGAGGCTTTCTCTAAGTTCTTTAAGAGGATGCAGCCTCAACAGTTAATGAAGCATCGTCAGGCGTTTCTCGTATGTGTCTTTAGCAAGACAAGACAGCTGGAAGAGTTAATGTTGAAAGTCTGTGCAAGGATTTGAACGAAGGTGCCAGCTGACTTTATTATTTTCTAAACGATCATCACGCATGAGTGTATGTGCTATAGGACAGTAGAAATATAAGTAGAACAAGTGTGAAAGAGTTTATGTAATAAAATAGGCTTTATGTAAAACTATGTAATATACGGCAAATACAATTATTAGGTTTTGAGAAATAAGGTTTCCTACACCCTTTCATCGTGTAAATGTGTTAGTTAAGCAAACATCAGTCTGTCCTAAATTATTCATTGTGGCTATGCTACATCTTTAGCTGTGCAGCCAAAACCACTGCACTGTTTGTATTCTCTGTGGCAGAGATAAAGAATATTTTATACTGGCAGAGAATATCTTGTACCAATTGCGGCTAAGATTAGTATTATAATAAACAATTACTGCAATATATACAACAAAAAAAAAGAAAACAGATTGTTACATATAATATTTGAAAGGATTTTGAAAGGATTTATAGATATCCAATTATTACATATTTTAACAGATCATGGGCGAGTGTATAATGCTACAAAAAAAGGATTGCATCTGTTTCGGACAGTTCCGGTGGCCTAGTGGTTAGAGCGGCTGCCTCGTATGCGGAAGATAGCTGGTTCGTAACCCGGTCGAGTCATAAGAAAGATTTATAAAAATGGTACATACAGATGCCTCTCTAGGTGCTCAGCATTCAGAAGTTAGTGTTATGACTGGTGCCAGGATAATGTGACTGGGTTGGAAATGATGCTACATGTCTGCGGCGTGATGCAGTAATAGACGTCACTATAAATTGTCACACTGCATACATCTTAGCGATATGAATAATAATTGTTGAAACTAAGTTAAAAATCCAAATCACACACACACGCACATAAATGCATCATACAGATTTGTCAATGATTCACAAAAGATGTCACTTTTCAGAACACTTCAGGAACATGATGATAAATTAATTTAGGAATTATCTTCGAACAGCAATTATATAATCATGACAAATATGAGGAAAAACATGAAAGTCATTATATGATGTTGCAGGAAAAAATGAAGCTGATGTTAACAATACCATTTAGTACAGATAACAAAACAAACGAATGCTACAATGATGATGATGATGATGATGATGTAATGATAAAGAACATTTGGAAACGATAGAAGACCCTTTTTGTGTTGAGTTATTTCACTGTAAAGATACAGAATCCATCGATACAACAATTCAGCGGGTTACAAGTTTAAAAACGAGGATTATAACACTTGTGAGATTCTTGGATGTGAGGTGAATTTCAAGTCATTATGCATTATTACAATATGCAGAGGTTTGTAACAAATAACTGTGTGAAGAGAATTTTATTTTCACAGAAAGATGCTAAACTTTGAAGGCAAACGTGTGGCAAAATAGCTTGGTTTTGAGTCTAACTTATCATGTGAAATTGTCATTTATGGTATAGAAACATTTATATACTACACTCAAAGACTATTGTGAAAGAACTTTGGTCTAGGTCAGATGTATAAATTGAGAGGATATACTATTTCACATCAAAGAATACAATTCTTGTATAAAATTTTAAATGTCTTTGGGAGGCAATCGATGAGAAGGTGTATGCCTTGGAAAACGTGAACAATTTCATTACAAATACTGTAAATCACTTTGCTAGCGTTGCGTGTTGGTATAGATGCTCAAACTTACCATTAGTATGGTATAGGAGTCAAATCACGGGCCTTGCCAATGCGGATCTGTTTGGGAGTATTATCGAGCGCGCCGTCAAAAATTTGCTAACGCAGCAAATATAGAACCTATTGTAGAAATACTGAACGATGTTAACACCGTTTAGGAAACACATCACATGAAAGTGTCGATGAAACAATAGCCAGATTTAAGTGATTGCAGTTTATGCACAAAAAAAAAAATATTGCCAGAATTTGCAATTAGAGAAAGATTTTCCAATTACATAAACTGAGAGTAAATCAGGCAAATTACACGAGAGCGTGTAATACTATTATCAAGCTGTGTGCGAAAAAATAACACTTGATTTATTAAGACTCAAATGAACCACGACTGGTTGTGTAACAATTGATCCCGGATCAACCACAACTGGATGTAAATGCAATGCCAACATTGAAACATTTTGCGCTTGAGCGCAACGTAAAAGTACCAATATCCACATAAAGCTGATTTACTTGCTCTAACTAGTAGTAGAGACGAACCGTGTCAGACTGTGAGACAGTTTCAGGAAATATCCGAATTCCTCCAAGAGCAGGGCGAACCAAAATTGCACGTGTGGTCAAAGATGAAGAAAAAAATTACGTCGTATCGCTGCCGCTATTGTTGTGGATGCCACTGGAAATTTTTGTCGAAAAGATCGCCGGCGTATCGTTAGAGAGGATAATGTGTATGTTCATTAACATGAAACTCCCAAATAAAAGTTTCACAAAGGCAAGGGTGATTGAGAAAATTACGTGGCAATCATCCCACATTAGACATTGTTCTCAATATACTCTTTGACTATGACGCTTAATCTTAAGTCATCAGACAAGGATGTTTAAAAATCGAATTTTCGTGGATTAATTTTGGTTCCCTTGAGATCTTAAACCGTAAAGATGCTGAGATTAAAAATATACCCACGTGGGTTAAGGATGGACTCTTGACAAATACTTTCAATTTAAAGTGAACCGCTCCGGTGGCCTGGTGGTTAGAGCGTCCGCCTCGAATGCGTAAAGTTGTGGGTTCGATCCCTGCTCGAGTCATACCAAAGAATACAAAAATGGAACTAACAGATGCCTCGCTTGGCGCCCAGCATCAAGAGGTTAGTCTTAGGACTGGTCGGCTTGGTGTCAGGATGATGTGACTGGGTGGGACATCATGCCACATGTCTGCGGCATATTGCCCCAGTGCTAGACATCACTATAAACTGTAACACAGCAGACATCGTAGCGATATTACTGAAAAATTGTTAAAAAATCTAAATCACACACACCATTTAAAGTATGTTTCTTCGTTATAGCCTTTCCAAAGGGTCTATATATATTAAAACGCCTAAAGATGTTCTGCAGTGATCGTCGGTAAATATAGAAAACGACGATAACCGACGTTTTAAATGGGAGCTCGCATTCCTGTTACATCCCATGAGTAACAATACATACCAGTAGCGGAAATGGCAGCAATATCTTGGTGAGGTCAATTTGGGTAATTTAGCAGGTTACTAAGGCTTCAACAAAAAAGTTAAATAAAAAATCTAATCCTGGTATAACTGTTAATGTGTTCGTTTAGGACAAATGTTTATATGCACTGGCAATATCCCCACATGTAGAAAGCAAAAATCCACATGGGTAGACCCAGACTGATCCGTTGTTGCCTAGCAATATGAGTGGTTAGAGATTTCATTGTGTATTGACAAAGAACGTTGCCCTGCTGCTTAACATAAAACAGCAAGCACACGGGCAAAAAGTTCCATGCAAATGTAGGCATTAAATTAGCACCAAGTAACTGCTTGACGACGATGCTTTTACTTTGGGGGAATTCGGTAATAGACGCAGCGTACTATTATGCCAGAACATGAGAAAAACATTCTAAAGTTTACAGCGGTGCAACGAAAAAATGAAATTACCGTATATAATGTAAGCGGACCTTAAATGTTCCTGTGGACCTGTGGAAGAATCTAACAAATAAACAATGTGCAAGTTACTGAGCAAGTCTCGTGTGGATTTGGCTACACTGTTGTCCGATGTGAGGGGCAAACTGAACCACCATTAGTATATAGCACACTGAGCGCTAGCACCACAAACACAGTTGAGGTGTTTCTTTAATCGCTTGAGTGTACGACAAAATATATCAGGCAACAAATCTATTCACCCGAAGGCATGATCATGGCTAATGATGACATCCATGATTTTTCTGAAGTCACTTATTGCTGGATCGGTAATGGCGATTTTACCTCCGCTGATTTCAAAGTTTATGATCACTGACGCATGTAGAGGAGCTACATAAAATGAACGCAATCTGAAGTTACGGATTCAAAAGCAATAAGAATTCTTGTAGCGCTTCATAACCTGCCTGAGTATAATGTCCATTTATTTAATGCAAGCATTAACAAAGGCATCGAATGCACCAGCATGTGTAATTTCAAACAATATGGAAAAATACATGACGTTTAGTAAATGAGTTTGATATCAGCAAGTTTTCAAAAGATCATGCACTGTGTAGCAAAGACAAGTAAAAAAAAATGTTGGCAAGTTCAAACATAATTTGCGTGAAAATTAACGGAAGTGTATGTGGAATTGTATCGAAAAGCGTATTCAAAAGCAAACAGAAAGCAAAAGGAATCACATGTATAACTGTTGACTAGAATCTTCGGCATGAAATGTATGTGGAATGTGTTCGATATTGACGTGAATTTACCCTGCAAATATCATTCAGTCAAAGACATCGCATGTGTGTATATCGATGCACCAAGGTGAGTTTATCACCGCTTGATATCAAACAATGGAATTACCACTTACCCGTTTCCACGTCATAAAAGAAGAATAAGCGCGTCAGCGACACTTGCTTAATCTTTTGATGTCGACGGCTCCGTTTTTCCGTATCTTCTAGCAACATCTGTGATTGATAGCACGTAATTATATGTGCGTGTTTGTACATGATCATGCAGAAGAAACAAAAGATCAGCCTGATAAATTTCGTTATGTGTTTTGACATGAAAGCAACCACGGAAAATCTTTCTCGATGCAGGTAGGTAAATTTGCCACAACGCTTGTTTGGGCAATTATACGCAAACAACCACATGGGTGATCTTTGTCACGCGTTTTCAACCGCAGCTTCTCCTAATAACCGCGGAGAATGTAGTATGTTTTGCAGAAAGTGCATTCAGACTTTTCCTTTCTCTTAGTCATGTTTCTTTGTTTATTATAACATTATATTTTACCTACGATGAATATAATTTTGTCCACGTCTTAGTGACCGCCTACAACAGCCTTGGTCTTCATACCCACTTTGATGATCCATGTAGCGATTTATTTTCCGAGGATCCAGAACTTTCGGCATCGACACAATTTATAGGTATTTCAACAGGCGTTGGTTAGTTGTTGGAATCAAGACATATATCAAGCCCTGTACCGGGCCCACAGTAATTTTATCAAGGTTTGATAGGGAGCTTGATGTGTTTTTCAATGGGATGTACTCAATGGTGTTCCTAGTGGTTTAGTTGATGTATCAGCGACATCACCGTTGACAAGTTTTCTCTTTGGATCCGGAGCTCTTAGCTCCACCGATGGATCTGGAAGCTTTGACAAACGTGAACTTCTTTGCTAAACACCGAACACGAGTTACCAAGACTGCGGCTCTACCATTGCATGCGATATCGCACACAATAGGAAAACATGATTGTTGTTGTTGTGCTTAATGCCATTTTTTCAGCACACGATAAGCTATTCATGGCGGCAAGTATTAATGGTGGAGGAAGAAACCGGGAAATCAACGGAAAGAACCACCGACACACGAGAAGCTACTGGCATGCTTTCTCACATATCCACATTCGCCGAATCCTAGACTCGAACCCACGCAGACAGAGGTGAGATCACAGTGATCCGTAACGGACAGCGCTTTAGATCACTCGACCACTCGGGGCCCCTAGACATGATTGTATTGTACAATAATTGTGTAATATTTAACATGGCATCACGAAAAGGTAAATATTCCATTAAAAAAAACTCAGGAAAAACTCAATAGTTGTTGAATCCGATTAGAGGATGGTTAACGTGCGGTCACCAGAAAGGAATAGCGCCTTCGGTAAACGAATTACCGAGTTATAATGTTGACAGGACTTTTACGGTAGCGCTTCAATCATCGCCAAAGAGCAAACCGTCCACCTTTGATTTCTTTTCCACAATCAGTGAAGCTCCAACCAGTTGTGACATTGATTTAAGCACATGAACATCAAATCAATCCCGCGAGGATATTGCCAAATTTGGCACAAAAAGAATATGTGGTCTATTTGACTCAGTGATAGCAACACATACTTAAAGTAATCAGAGACAATTGCAACATGTTAATTATATTTCACGGCATTAACACTCGTGGTCTCACAAACATCTATTAGATCTGGTGTGCCCCTGACGTTTCGTGGGATGAATTTAGTAACAAGTTTACGGAGGTCGCCCAGAAACTATATATTTTCATCACTTTAGAACTTAACCAAACTCCCGAAAATATAGAGCCGGGTTGGACGCAGCCATATTACGCGGATTACTCCGGTAAAGCAAGTTAACATTATATTAATAAAGTCATCACAACGACAAAATCTGCCAGCGATCAACACCCAAGTAACAAAACCGGACACGATCAAGTGAAACTTTCATGCAAATAAATGGGTGCAAACAGACAAAGATGTGTAACAATCCCGACAAAATGCACGGGAAGACCTCATACAGGGCTTGGAACGATCACTTGCACCGCTGATTAAACCAACAAAAGAAATTGCATCCAACACTGCAGGAACTGCGAAACATGTTGAGGATACTGAAAAAGTCACAAGAGCATATGTGAACAGGCTTCAGCGCTAACAGGAGCAGAAGGGGAGCCGGAAGGAATCACGTACACTCGAAACCACATTGGCGTCGTTACAAGTTTATTACAGTCGACCTAATATCTGATCAATACATTTTGGTGGTCAATCCGCAAATTACTCATGCGTGTTTTTTTGGCGGACAGTTGCGTCATCTGAAAAAATACTGAACTTTACGCGGCCGCTTAATACATGAAATCGATCAATGAAGAGATCCGACGAACAATCACATTGGTGACCGGCAAAGACTCTAATAATTTCTTCTGCAGACATTATACAGTCGTCGATAAGAAGAACTTAGGAAAATTTTAGATTGGCTTGAAGATATGAATGAAATCCTTGTGACAACCAATTTACCGCATGGGATACCACATCGCGTCAGACATTGTTAGGATTACCTCCAAGAGGCAAATCAATTGCCCCTTGATGCCATCATTGACAGTTGCCAAGCTTCAGCCACGGCAATGCAAACGTAGCAGGGTTACATACAGTTTGGACTTTTTACTGTGGAACCGGGTAATTTGATAATGAATATTTCTTCCGCATCCGTGTATCTTCCATGCCACAATCCCCGTTAACGCATACTTGTTTTACACTTTTGGACCAGGACGGGTATAAGTTATTCGACATGTACATGTCAACATAATATTTAATATAATGGCATTCATTGGAATCTTCACTTTTTGTGGTGTGTGCAACCAATGCATGTTGTTAGCGAAAAAATTCTCTTTAAATACATATTACGGAAATGGCTTTTCCAGGGCTGGATCAAGTCTAGCTGTGGAGAATGGTTCCAATATTTCAAAAGGGTTATAACTTACCTCGAAAGGGCACCAAAGCAATAGTCTGTCTATTTATTCAAAATGCGCATAATACCCAATAAACGCGTGCAAGATTAAACGATATGCAAATTGATGACATCCAAAGTGTTGATGCAGATCGGTTTTTAAATCGTGGATTTCAAGAGGTTCGATCGATTTGAGATCGATTGACACAACTGGTAATTCGAACACCATCAAAAGCAATTGAAGAAAAAGTAGTTATACTTCCTTCTGTCGACACTGATAATGTCCGCTCCGGTCAGTAAAATCATCAGTGAAGTCGCTCAACAGCTGATTAAATGCCTGAAAATGTAGTAATGGGAAGCAGACGACAGCTGTGGATTAGGCCTATCAGTGGGTGGCGAAC